TTACGGAAGTGCAGAAAAATGGTACTTTTTTCTTCCAGAAACATCCTCCTTCCATGGATCTAAATGCAAAACATGATGCTGTAGATTTTCTTAAAACATGGTTCCTGGAAATGTTTTGGGAGGCAAAGTGCAGTAATGTGCATTTTTTCTTATTACATTTTGCCGGTGTCAGCCTTGCGACATCCGTATACTTCTCCAAAACCTCCACGTCCAATTATCCGATGCACTGAGAAATCATTCATTGTTAGCTGCATATTCAGTTCTAAATTCTTCCACTGGCAAAACCTCGTGAATTTGTCACTGAAAGTAAAGATATGCTTTTAAAATGTTCGAAAACAATTATAGTTTGTGTAAGTGGATTTGAATGAATGAAGGAAACATGGACTAAAATCACACATTAGGCTCTCATTTCCTTATAATTACAGTCTTCCTATGCAAAAATGCTGCTCTAAAAAAATCAATTTTGAAAAGGATATCCGAAAGCGGAAACTACTTCTTTCTCCATCATGCCAAATATTTTTTGGGACCGCAAGAACAGCAGTCAACGTGTAAAGTCAAATACAAATTCATGTACATGATTATTTGCCTAGTGCGTATGATATGCAAATATATATATGTGTGATTTTGTTTCCTCGCGATCATGCAAGAAAAAAAAATTCCATGGGCAAGGTAGCCTTGCCCACAGCCAATGGGCTAGCATATGTACGGGTGGTTTGTAGCTGCGAGAAAGTAAAAGATTAATTGGGCAGCGCATATAGAATAGGCGATGAGTAGTAACTGCAGATATCCAGTTCGGGATCAAGAGATCCGGCATAGCTGCGCTCTGCGTGTGGACGATTTGAGTGAAATCGCTAACATGCGATACCAGGCTGATTGCAAGGGCAATCTTAGTATATCCGGCATCCTTTGTTTGCATAACTGTCTAGGAGATAAGCAGATATCAGAAAGAAAAGCCGATAACAGATAGTTAATTGTACAGGCAGACCTCGACAAGAGGACGTCTGCAACAAAACGTGCAGTACAAAAACTTGAAAGTGTTACGGCATGAGGAAAAATGTAAGAGACTGAGTCAAAGGCTGTTAAATTCAGATTTGAGGAAAAATACGGCACAGCTGCATTAACCAGATAACCGTGAGCTTTCAGAATCTTTAGCGCATGACGACCCATGGGATTTATCGCGAGGAAGTACTACAGAAGAGGCAGAGGAATTTAATATCTTGCACGTTCCTCCAGATGGCAGCAGAAGTATAACGCCAGCAAGCTAACTACCAAACGATGCATCACTGGGCACAATAAGCAGCAAACAGCTGCCGATTTACGGTGATGAAACAACGGCTGAACAAAAATTTAGAATATATTTAACACCCGTACAGCGCAAGCTTGAAATGATCAACTTGATTACCTTTCTAAAAATTTCTGAAAAACATCGCCCTTCAGTTGCTCACATATTTCTGTCACATACGGCTGAAAATTTATGCAAATTACGATTTCTCCATTTTCTTAAAGTTACATGATTTTAGGTATATTTTTTGAAGAAATTCAGTTAAATTGAATTGAATGAAATGTTTTGACATGGAATAGAGTTTTTTTTAGAAATGAAATAAAAAAACTTTCGTCAACAATTATGGCTTTTTAGTTCTGATTTAATCGAATGTCGAGAAGAGTTTTTTTTTTGAGGTCACGTTTTTTGCGATCTACCAATTAACCGGCAATATTTAAAAATACAGCTATTAACAAAAAGTAACCCGGAAGAGATCAGGCTGTACACTGTTCTTCATCAAATTCCTTTGAACGTGCTGCAGCGAATCTTTTGAATAATTCTAAAATAAAAGTATTTCCCACTTCGGTGGTTGCCAGTGAAATCTATCAAAGAGCATCACATTTTTCGGCCGAATTGCAAGTACTTATCACATAATCCTCGGCGATGATAACAAAATTGGGCGCTCAGCTTACAGGTCAGGAAAATTTCGAAGACATCTGACGGATAAAAGGCCGAAAAAAATATTGAGAATTCATCGAGAAGTTTTGAGTTGCACTGAATGATGCCGTGTCATAAACGGTGCATAAACACTAGCACAAAATCAGGAAACTATCAAAACCAACTTCGCGTCTTACTAACTGACAGTGATGAGCTTACCGGAAAGCTTACCACTGTCGGTTAGTAAGAAGCGATCTCGTTGTATCCAAAGATAGAATTTATGGTTGCCGGCCAAATACAAAGGCGCTTATCGATCAAATTTGCCTGCAGATAGATGGCGAAGAAACTGCGACAGGCATGGTTTCGACCATACAAAACACCAAAAAGCTATTTTAAGACTGTTATAATCCAGAATTATAACAGCTGCCCAAATTTTGAGATGAGACCATTGGTAAAAATACGGTGAAATTTTTAAATCTTCGCACAGAGAGAGGTTACTAATGAAACTGCAGTTTTTTTAATTCATAGCTTCTTTGCCTCGAAGCCGAGGAAGTAGCATGAATTTCGATTTCGAGTCATGAAAAAAAAAACATGGTTGTAAGTTCTGCAAGTCGCTTTCCTAATAAGACCTCACCTTAGTGCATTTTGTACTATTACGACTCCAGGCTGCAACGCACCAGACACCGGTGCGATCATGCGTTCTTGCGCTAAGGTTGCAAATCTTAACAGCAAGGATGGTTCTTGCGCTAGTCTAACGCTTGGACTCATATCGGCTGTGTTTTGGCCTTTTTTTACTGGATGGGAAAAGGGCGTCGGTCTGGGGAGAAAGTTTTGGATTTTGCAGCCGCGTGGACCTCCAGCGGTGCATCAATTTTTTACATGAGCTCCGGTCATTTTTCCGGCGAAATGGCTGGTTATCAAAAAAAATGCAATTCTGAGGAAATCCGCAAGAGATTGCGATAAAATTGAGCATTTGCCATGTCCGCGTGCAAGGAATTTCATCACCTAGCTGAATTAAAACTGTTCGTGAATATAGAATATTCTTGTAAAACTTCTGCTTTACAGATTGTCCAGTAAACGAAATAGCCACTTCGCCACGGATATCTTTGAAGCACTCTAAATCATAGCGTAAACGCAAACAGTAACACGATTTTCAATTTAGTAACACGATTTTCAGTACGAACAATAAATATCCAGACAAAATTTCAGCCAAACTTTGACGTGATCGTACGCGTGATGTAAATGCGCACGATAGCGGGATTAGAAATCTGTAGCTCATAATGCACGGAGAATATACTTGCAAAGTTTAAGCTTTGTATCTTTTTCCGCCAATGAATTTGTACTTTTTTCCAGACGCGAGATCCAGGCTCATGTGAGCAATGGTTTTAAAAGGGAGAATGAAAACGCTGTAGGCGGGGGAGAGGGAGGGCGAATGTGCCCCCCAAAGTTAAAGCCTCCCAGCTTCCCTGGTTGTTCAGTTGAAAGTAGGTGACAAAGTTCACTCGCTTCCGAACACATACATATATATATGTCTAAACCTCTCAACAATATGCGTTTTCGCTCACTGCAGTCGCGTTATGACGCTGCGCGGCAAAACATAAAAATACATTAAAAACAGCGAACATGTGAGTGCGCGAGCATCTCGACCATGATATGGTGATCATAAATTTCTCGAGCTTTTATTAATCGCTCTTCCGCAGTTTCCATTTTTTCGTACTCTTTTATCTGAAAACTGATTCCATCGCATCTTAGTGCTTGTGTTCAGTTTAATGCTGAGTGAGGATAGGAAGGAATTCTTTTCTCTTGCTCCATTCCATCTCCTTCTCTTCGTCCAAAGAAGCGAAAAGTTATCCTTGTATGATGACGTAGATGTTTTAGCAAGGATTTGTCCGACAAGAATTAGTCCTCAACATGAACTATCGGCTGAAAAATGGGAAAAATGTCTGCCTCGAAACACGCCCATGTGATTATACCCTCCCATGCGCAATTGCCATTCTACTCTGTTTCTCAACTAAGTCAGTTTGATGAGGCGCCTAACAACCAGAAAGAGCTTATTCATAAACAAAGAACTGCCTACACGCCCCATTTTTCTCTTAATTTCGTGTTCTGCCTTCGGCACGATGAAAAGAAGTCGCAAACTAGTAATTTAAACCATGTATTGAAAAGCATAAATTTGGGAGCAGAAGAATTTGTTTTAACTAAAAAATGAACAAGTAATTCAAAGAAATTCCCAGGAAATGGCGAATCTCAGAAATGATCCCTGTGATGGAACATCGCTAAGTGCTGAACTTTGCCTAAAAAGCAAGCTAAGGATGTCTGGCTTCCTAAAGTGCTAGACGACCGGTAATTAAAAGTCGCAAAAAATAACAGTCTTTTGACGGACAAAGTGAAAAATGAGTGGTCACCCTAGTGAAGGGGCACCAAACTTCGAATGCTTCCTCCTTTACGGCCTGACCAGAGCACATGAAAGTTGGTTGCGAAAAATATTACTGCAGTTTTCCGTAATGGATTATTCAAGTCTGTGCGATTCAAAAAAATTGATGGAGTTCGCCAACGTCCGGCACTCATAGGGAGGTCTAAGCAGTTACGATCAAAAACCAGTACGAACCGCTTCATAGAATTTAATTTGTGGGCACGGCG